GCTGAAAAGCCGTGCAAGTCTGGGTCGCTCCTTGCCCCTCAGTTGGACCCGGCCTGTAGGAGAGTGGGCCTCTGCCCCTCCTAGGCAGCCCTGCAGGGATGGCCACGCTGCACTCCCTCCTCCATTCTCCTCTCGGGATTTTGTGCATGCACACACCTGTGGCTGGTGTGAGCTTTAAGCGGCCGGGTCCAGGACTTGAATTGCTGGACTACATGGGAGTCCAACGACGTAACCATTACGCCATCTGCTGGTCCCGCCCAGCATGATTTCATGCTGCTGGGACTAGGATTTGAACCACATTTGGCCATGTAGAATTCAGCGCCTTGGCCCGCCCCCTGCTGGCCCTAATGCTACAATATTTTTAAAGAGTCAGGAAGACGCCGGGTAGCTGTGGGACTGGGCACAGAGGGGCACTGGCCACAGAGGCTCAGGGTCCCTGCCCCTGCAGCCAGACCGACCTCCCTGCTAAGGCCCCCTTCCCCCTCCCAGAGGATCTGTCGGAGCCCGAGGACATGTTCCCTGAGGACATCAGCAAGTGGAGCTCCAACGACCTCATGGACAAGATCGAGAGCCCGGAGCCCGAGGACCCGCAAGGTAACCTGCTCTGGGTGGCACAGTACTGGACGCCGGGGGCTGCAGGCACACCTCAGCCCTGGGCTGCCTGCACACCCTCGGCCCTGGGCTGCCCGCACACCCTCGGCCCTAGGCTGTAGGCATACCTTGGCCCTGGGCTGCCCGCACACCCTCAGCTCACAGCACGGCTTCTGGTTGCAGACGGTCTGTACCGCCAGAGTGGCCCTGAGTTCCGGGTGGCCTCCAGTGTGGAGCAGCTAAACATCATGGAGGTGGGTGCCCGGGGGCGAGGGACAAGCCGTGCCACCCAGGCCCCGCGGCTGCTGGGGGAGGGGCAGAGGGACGGGCGGCAGGACCACACACCTGCAGCCTCACAACCTCGCTTGGCCTGGGCACTGTCTGGAGGGAGGCCACCCTGCTAGGAGGGAGCCCCGTTACTGTCTTCCATGTCCCCAAGAACCAGAGATTGCAGACAGAATCCCTGACAAAGGCCTTGGCCAGGCCCACGTAGAGAAATGGGAGGGGAAGCTCACACACTCCAGGTCAAATCAGCTCCTTGCCCCGTGGCCTGCCACACCCTGTGGCCAGCCTTACCCACTGTCCCTGGAGATGAAAAGACAAAGGGGAGAAAGTCTCCTTAGCAGAGCAGTGGGCAAGAAGTGGCAGGCATGGCTGCAGGTGGGCCGGCTAGTGGAGCTCAGCATATACAGCGAAGCCGGCTTGGCCGGGTGCTCCACTCGGGTTCTTGCCTGAGCTCACGCCCCCTACTCCACCCGTGGGCAGTCAGAGCTGTTTGCACTGGAGCCGGGAGCCAGGCAGTCCCTCACCAAGGTCCACGCCCTGCCCTGGGCTTAAGCTGCTGGGGCGGATGACACCCAGACCTACCTCAGCCTCCTCCCTGCCCTCTTCCACCAGCCCGAGTAACGTGGCCCTGTCGGGTGGGTGGTGGCTGGGAAGAGGCCCTTTTAGGCAGGGCCACAGCCCGGCTGCGACAAGGCTTGTGGGTGCCCGTGCACTTGACTCTGACCACTGTGACGCGGACCAGGCCGCACCCCCCCCCCCCCCCCCCCCCCCGTGTCCTTGCTGAAAAGCCGTGCAAGTCTGGGTCTCTCCTTGCCCCTCAGTTGGACCCGGCCTGTAGGAGAGTGGGCCTCTGCCCCTCCTAGCCAGCCCTGCAGCCCCACGCTGCCCTCCCTGCTGTCGGGGAGCCTCACCGTGGCCTTAGAGTCTGGGAATGGCAGTGGGGGCCAGGGAGAGCGCAGAGCGGCAGGCAGTGGCCATTCTCCAGAAAGCCCAGAGAGCCAGAAGGCGCGGCTTAAGCCAGCCACGCCCTCTGCCACCTCCCAGCTGGAAGGAAGGCCCTGCCTGGGCTCCCCGAAGGCAGAGGGCTCTGTGTCCTCCAAGCCTGGTCAGGCTGCTGGAGGAGAAGGCAGCGAGCCCGTCCTCCCATAACTGGCCGAATGTGGGGTTCGCATAGGGAGCAATGGGGCTGCTACAGGGCACCCCAGGGTACCTGCGGCCTTGTGAGGGGCTGAGCGCTCGGGGAGTGACGCCGCCCCCTGGCCCGTGCAGGATGAGGCCAGCCAAACGCTGGCGGCACCACCCTCCAAGGTGCACGTGCTGCTGCTGGTGCTGCACGGGGGCACCATCCTGGACACGGGCGCCGGGGACCCGTGCTCCAAGCAGGGCGACACCAACACCATGGCCAGCGTGTTCGACACCGTCATCCGTGTGCACTACCCCGGCGCCCTGGGCCGCCTCGCCATCCGCCTGGTGCCCTGCCCGCCTGTCTGCTCCGATGCCTTCGCCCTCGTCTCCAAGTGAGTGGTGTCTGCCCACTGGCGCCACCCTCATCCACAGCCCGACGTGCCCCCGTGCCCCCAGCCTCCGGTGGTCCCCCAGTGTCAGGACCCTCACCCAGACCTGCTCTCCAGCCCCCTGGTCTGGAGGCAGCCAGACATAAGTGGACAGCCTGAGCTTACGGTCTGGGGTGGGCTGGGCCCCCGGCCAACCCCACTGTTCAAATCCGTGACACGGAGAAGCTGGCCTGTCTGAGATCTAGTGCCTTACCTGCTGGCCCTGTCCCCGCCCAGCCTGCCCAGGGCCCCAGGGGTGTTTGCTGAGTCCCCGACAGACTCGGGCAGGCTGCCCCCATCCGCCCTGCTGCCCGGTCAGGGGACCAGGGCCTTCGTGCTGAGCCGAGGCTTAAGCTGTCCCCTGACGGGCGCCTGTCCACCAGCCTCAGCCCCTACAGCCACGATGAAGGCTGTCTGTCCAGTAGCCAGGACCACATCCCCCTGGCTGCCCTGCCCCTCCTGGCCACCTCCTCGCCCCAGTACCAGGAGGCGGTCACCACGGTGATTCAGCGGGCCAACCTTGCCTACGGGGACTTCATCAAGTCCCAGGAGGGCATGACCTTCAACGGACAGGTGAGTAATAGGCAGGAGGGGGAGGAGGACCCCGCAGAGCGGGCTGCCCGGGACAGAGGGCGGCCTTTGCCCAGCCCACAGCGCCAGCGGCTCAGAGCTCCGCCCCGCCCCGCCCCGCCCCCCGCCGCGCCCCGCCCCGCCCCGCCCCCTGCAGGTCTGTCTGATTGGAGACTGCGTCGGGGGGATCCTGGCATTCGATGCCTTATGCTACAGCAGCCAGCCCGTGACTGACAGTCAGAGCAGCAGCCGCCGGGGCAGTGTGGTCAGCGTGCAGGTACCCTCCCGGGGCACGGCATGGCCCTCCTGTGTCCTGCACACCCATAGGCTGCCATGTAGACTAGCTATCCCCTCCGCTGCTGGGTGCGGAGCCCTCACCTGGCGTCGGTTTTGCCTCACAGAGCAGGGAGCCCAGCCGAGCTCTGCTGCTTTATTCAGCCAACCTCCTCCTGGGCTGTAGCCCCCGCTGCCCAGGAGCCCACCCCAGGGCAGGGCTCGAGGCGGTGCAGGGCGCTGAGGGAGGCCGGTTCAGGCCCAGGCCTCGCTGGCCCCAGAGGAGCTGGAGGAGCTTGTCTCAGATCCTGCTTCCTCCACTCCAGAAGTTGGGAAGGGCTGAGGTGGCAGGGCAGGTGCAGGGGCGGGAACGCAGCTGCAGTGTGGCTGAGCCCAGGGAAGCCGCGGGCCAGGGTCTGCACCGTGAGGGGTGGGGTCTGTGCCCAGGAGGTGTGCTGGGCGGACCTCGTGACCCCTTGCTGCAGGGCACGTGGCCTGGCGAGAGCACGGAGGTCCACGGTGCTGGACCGGGAGTGAGGGCGCGCGGCAGACAGGACAGGGCTTTCCGTCTGGCCTGGGAGGGGCTAGTGGCCGGTGGCCCGGGCGGGGAAGAGGACGCTCCCAGAACCCCAGCGGAGGGCCCAGGCCAGCAGCCACCGGCAGTGAGCCTCCACGGGGCTGTTGCAGGACACTGACCTGCTGTCCCCGGGCACCCTGGTGAACACAGCACCCTGCGGTGGCAGCGCTGGCGGCTCCAGCCTGCAGAGCAGCCGGCACCTGAGCCGTAGCGACGTCGACATCCCCCGGAGCAACGGCCCCGAGGACCCCAAGAGGCAGCTGCCCCGCAAGAGGAGCGACTCGTCCACCCACGAGCTGGACACCCTTCAGCAGCACCGGGCCTTCCTGTCCAGGTGGGCGGGCCGGCGCGGGCCTGTTGCCAGGGGAGGGCATGACTCAGAGAGAGGCCAGGTGAGGTGCTTTTTTTGCGGGCAGCCGCCAGGCATTGTGTCCGGGGGTGCCTAGTCCCCTCATCTGTCCCTGACGGCTGGTGCCACGTGGGAGCGGGGTGAAGAACGGAGGTTTATTCCACTCCCGATTTGGGGGCCTTCAAGGGCTATGTCTGACAGGCCTTCTTGTGGGTGGGCTCGGCAGGACCCCGGGTGGCGCTGGCTACACCGGGCGAGAGCCTGCACGTGTCCCCGCGCCTGCCTTCTGTAAGCCACGAGCAGTCGTGGGGGCCCACCCCAAAGCCAGGTCCCCTCCCAGTGGTCCATCTTTCAGCCCGTAGTCCGGTTATGTCTCCACACCTCCACCCTCACAGCGGCTCACAGATTTCAACCTGTGGCTTTCTGGGGACACGCAACCCACAGTGGGGGCCCCAGCCAGGTTCTGGGATCCCAGGCCGGGCCCAGAAGGTAGCTTATTGGATGTCGTTGTCTTGGGCACGCCAGGGGCCACTACGAGCCATTGAAACGACTGTCCCAAGGCTGGGGTGGGTCTGGAGGTGTCGGGTACAGAGCACACCGGGACAGCATGGCCTCAGGGGTGGCAGGTGGTGCACACCACAGGACAGCGTGGGGTCAGGTCTCGTGTGGGTCTGAGGACTTCAGAGGCTTGGACCAGCCTGTCCTTCATGAGGCTAAGAGAAGGCCAGCCCCGAGAAGGACCCTGGAGTGACGGACGCGTCCCCACCACAGCCTCCATGCCAGCGTGCTGAGGAATGAGCCTGGCTCCCGCCGCACGAGCAGCTGCACCGTGCTGGATGGCTCGGGGGGCCTGGGCAGGTTTGACTTCGAGATCACCGACCTCTTCCTGTTTGGGTGCCCGCTGGGGCTGGTCCTGGCCCTGAGGAAGACTGTCATCCCGTCCCTGGATGGTGAGAGCCCTGCCATGCGGGGTGGGGGAGCAAGCACTGGGCAGGGGGTCTCGGTGGAGCCCTGTCACGTCCAGGGTCCCTTCCAGTGTCTGCCTCCTCCCTGCCCTGCCCCCTGGGGCCCAGTGCTCGCAGTTGCTCCTGCTGCCCCGCTTGGTCACCCCCATACCTGCTGTTTCATCTTCCACCCCAGGTGACCTGGGAGGCTGTGTAGAGGGCAGGGCCGAGGGCTAACCAGGGAAGGTAGCTCCCAGGGTCACATGGGGACAGACCCAGTCCCTTGGACTCAAGGGCCCCCCTGTGTGAGAGATACAAAGCCGGGCACCCCAAAGCCAGCCCTGCAGGCCACAGCCGCATTCTCATGGCTACCCAGAGCGGAGGTGGGACAAAGGCCGGGCACCGCATCAGAGCTGGCCCTGCCCTGTCCCCAGCTCACCTAGCGCAGCTCCCGGGCTCCTCTCCCGGCAGCCGTGCGGGCCCAGCTCACGTCCCAGGGCTATAGAGGGCAAACAGGCTCGGGGAGGCCTAGACACCAGCCAAGAGCTAGCGAGTAAGCCGGTGAGTGCTGGTTAAACACGCAGACCCAGGGCCAGCAGGAGGGTGATGACTAGGCTCTGGGTCCCACATGGTCCGTGTGGTTCGGGTCCCGGACCTGACAGCTTGAAAGTCACACCCGGTATGTGTGCATGTGTGTGTGTGTGCGTGCCCGGAGTCTTGAGAGAAGAATGGAGGAGAAGGGATTATGGCGTGGCCATCCTGGGGTGGGGCTGAGTCCTCACTTCCCCTCTGTCTCTGGCAAGCACACGTGCCCTGTGGCAAAACCCTAAAACAAACAGAACAAGCGCACCCCGACATGGACCCTGGACTCGGCACCTCGGCCCTCCATGAGCCGGCGGCCGGGAAGGGAGGGCAGGCTCGCACACGGTGCAGCCCAGGGGTGGCGCCACGCTGGGCCTCGGTGCCACTGCGAGGCCCTACAGAGGGTCACACGGGCACAAGGACCAAGGGACAGGATGCCACGTGATGGTATTGTGAAAAGCCAGGTGACCTGCATGTCACAGACCTCACACGGGTGAAGAGACTTTGCGTCCTCTCGGTGCCTTGCGGCAGACCCTGCCTGGGTCAGGCTCCTCGGGTGAGTCTGCGGGCTCGGCTCCTGACGCCCCGCCCGACCCCCAGTCTTCCAGCTGCGGCCCGCCTGCCAACAAGTCTACAACCTGTTCCACCCCGCGGACCCGTCGGCCTCCCGCCTGGAGCCGCTGCTGGGGCGGCACTTCCACGCCCTGCCGCCCGTCAGCATCCCCCGCTACCAGCGCTACCCGCTGGGGGACGGCTGCTCCACGCTGCTGGGTGAGAGCCGCCCGGGTTCTCTGGGCCAGGGTGTCCACGCCATGGCCTGTCCCCAGGGGTAGGGACACCAGCACAGCGCCCTCTCAGAAGCGGGGCCTGGTGCAGGCGCAGGTGCGGCTGTGTCCTCACTGAGGTCTCGGGGCGTGAACGGCTCTTCCCGCCTTTCAGAGGGTGTAGGTCAGGCCCGTCCCCGGGTGCTGGGCAGGGGCCGGAGGGAGAGCCCGAGTCTCCTAGTGGAGCCAGGGTTCCCCACGCAGGAGGCACCAGGCTGTGCCCGGGCATGGCAGGCATGCAGAGATGGCGCAGGTGGCTGGGAAGGGCACAGGGCAGGGACTTGGGTGGGCGTGTGGGTGAGGCCTCCCCGTCCCCTTGTCCGGCGTGTGTCCGGCGTCTTGTCGTGTCCCAGTCCTCAAGGAGGCCGAGTCCGTGCTGGAGCGTGTGCAAGCGGCCACGCGAGTGTCTGTTCTTGTCCTCTGTTCTCTCCCCGTCTGCCTCCAGTCGAGACCGTGCAGAGAAACCCCGAGCTGGTCCTGGAGGGCGGCCCCCTGGCCCCCCTCCCCCCCGGGGACGGCCTCCTGGAGACCAGTATCCCCGTGCCCGCGCTCACCTGGCAAGACGGCCCCCGCCAGAGCCCGGGCTGTGCTGAGTGTGTGTAACCTCCCCGCCTGCTCCCGAGTCCTGGTCCTCAGGGACACCCCCACGCCCTCCTGGCCACGCGGAGAGGGCGGGGCCTTAGTAGCAAGTAGAGACCCAGTGGGACAGAGCTGGCCCCGGTGCCTGCACGCCGTGGTCAGGGTGGAGGGGACCATGGAGGGGACCAGCAGAGGTGGGCACAGAGCTCAGAGATGCCTGGGGCTGTCCCAGGGCCCACGGAGTGTCAGGGATGCCTGAGGGCTCTGTCCCCTCAGTGGGGCTGGCAGGAGCAGACAGGAGAGTGCCTAGGGCACACCTCTGTTGGAGTCTTGGGGTGAGCCTCTTTTCTCGGAGTCATCCAGGCTGTTCCCACACCCCATCTCCCCACCCCACTGGCTCCTCTAGCCAAACCCTGCCCTCTCGGTGCTGTCTTGCTCTGTCTGTGTCCCGTCTGTCCATCCATCCCTCCTACTCCCACCTCAGCTCTGGGCCCGCCAGCCGAGGTGCACGCTGGACGCTGGCATTGCTCGGCCAGGCCGGCACCTCTCACCTGGCCTCCCGTCCCTGTCCTACAGCAGACGCGCTCCAGACCCACGGCACAGTCTTCCAGGAGCACGCAGCCCCTGCTGTCTTGCTCTGTCTGTGTCCCGTCTGTCCATCCATCCCTCCTACTCCCACCTCAGCTCTGGGCCCGCCAGCCGAGGTGCACGCTGGACGCTGGCATTGCTCGGCCAGGCCGGCACCTCTCACCTGGCCTCCCGTCCCTGTCCTACAGCAGACGCGCTCCAGACCCACGGCACAGTCTTCCAGGAGCACGCAGCCCCCTCCTCACCCGGCGCGGCCCCCAGCTTCCGCCGAGCCAGCGAGATCAGCATCGCCAGCCAGGTGTCAGGCATGGCCGAGAGCTACACGGCGTCCAGCATCGCCCAGAGTGAGTGCCCCGTGCCGGCCCCTGCGGACGGTGGCCCTGCCGGGCAGTGTAATCTACCACACCTGGAGGGCTGCTGCGGCCATCTGGGTGGAGACCCAGGCCAGGGCGGCCAGCAGAGCCCAGGGCGAAGCCCGGTCAGGGAGATTCCTGCCTCCGTCTGCTGGGCCCCGCCCCCACAGTGCCCCCATCCCGGCTCCTCCCATCCCCATGTGGCCGGCTCTGGCAGGCCTGGCTGTTTTTCCAGCATCCTCCCTGGCCCGTGGCGGACATGACAGCACGCTGGCCCCCGTGTAGCTGAGCTGCCCCCATGTTCTTGCTTCTCAGAGGCCCCCTCGGCACTCAGCCACACCCCCAGCATCAGGCGCCTGTCCCAGCTTGCCCTGCCTCCCCCATCTCCCACCACACGGGGCCCCCACACTTGGGCCAGGCAGGTTGGTCCCAGCCTGGAGAGGGCCCCCTGCCTCCCTGCTCGGGACTTGAGAGAAGGTACCGGGCAGTCCTGCGCTCTCCTCCTAACCCGCGGTCACTCTCACCACGGCCCAGCACCCCTCACTAGCTCAGGGGAGGCCCTGCCCACCTAAGACACCTGCTGAGGCCTAACAGGGGGCGGGGCTTGGGCTGGGGGTCTCAGGCACCCAGGGAGAAGGCAGGAGCCTGGGGGTCCCACGGAGCTGGATGCGGCCCGGTGAGGACCAAGGAAGCTGCCTGGGGTTCCCGTGTGGTGCAGCTTCAGGCAGAGTGGGGGGCCTAGACCGCTTGCTGAGCATGTCCTTGTCCTCGCCCCCGCCCAGGGCAAGTTGGGCACCCAGGTGCTGAGGAGGGCGCAGGCCCCGCCTGGGGCTTGAACTGTCCTCTTCCTCCTGTGGTGCCCTTCACAGCCTGGTAGCCTGCGGGGCACACGGGTGGGATGGGAGAACCCAGGGGGCAGAGGGGCTCAGGACAGGGGTGGCCAGAGTCAGCGACAGGACCAGGCATGGCTCATGCTGCCTCGGGCCCCCGCCCTACACCCTTCACCTCCTGGCGAGCAGATGCCGTGAGGCATCTGTGCCCACTTCTCCCAGTGGGCCTGCCCTCCGGGCCTCTGGCTGCTTGGCACTGCCCACACGCCTGCTTCCCTTGTCACCGGGCCAAAGCAGAAGGGCGGGTCGGGCTGGACTGAGCCAGGCAGAGGGGCGGTGACCCTCCGCGTGCCTGCCCAGGTGCCCGACACCAGCCCAGTCTTGGCTCCCCTGCAGTTGCTGCGAAGTGGTGGGGCCAGAAGCGGATTGACTACGCGCTGTACTGCCCCGACGCCCTCACGGCCTTCCCCACCGTGGCCCTGCCCCACCTCTTCCACGCCAGCTACTGGGAGTCCACAGACGTGGTCTCCTTCCCGCTGAGACAGGTACCTGGGCCCACTGCCCGGCACACCCAGGCTCACATGGCCCACTGCAGTTGAGGAGCCAGAGCACGCAGGACGGAGAAACGCTGCGTCAGGACGTGTGGGAGGGGTGGGTGGATTTCCACATTCGTAGGACAGACGGGACTCGTGGGGGCCACAGGGCAGACAGCGCCCCCTGAAGCCCTCCCGGCTGCTACTGCGGGTGGCCACTTCCTCCCAGAGCTGGGAGCCCCTGGCTTGAGCCTGCCCTGAGGCCCGCCCCGCCCCGGCAGGTCATGAGACACGACAACCCCAGCACCCTGGAGCTGGAGGGCAAGGAGGTGTCTGTGTTCACCCCCTCAAAGCCGAGAGAGAAGTGGCAGCGCAAGAGGACACACGTGAAGCTGCGGGTGAGGGCCCTGGTGCGAGCCACGACAGCCGAGGGACCTAGTCGGGAAGCATGCTGTCTGGTGTGAGGCTCGAGCCCATTTTCCAGACAGGAAAGTGCGAGGCTTTCTGACTCCCACAGCCAGGTGGCTGGAGCCGCAGAGCTGGGCGGGAACTCGGGCCGCTGGCTCCAAGCCCCCACTCGGCCCTTAGGCCTGCGGTGCTGGAGCTGAGCCAGGGGACCTTGCCGGCCCTCTGTCCCCAGCCCAACCCGCCTCCGCTCCCTCCCTCCCCAGAACGTGACAGCCAACCACCGAATCAATGACGCAGTTGCCAACGAGGACGGCCCACAGGTCCTCACAGCCCGGTTCATGTACGGGCCCCTGGACATGGTCACCCTCACCGGGGAGAAGGTAAGGACACGGGGCCTGGGGGACAGCCTCCCTCTGGCTGGGTGCAGGCCCAGCTGTGACAGCCTGCCCGCCGGCCACCAGGTGGACGTGCACATCATGCTGCAGCCGCCCTCAGGGCAGTGGCTGCACCTGGACACGCTGGTGACCAGCAGCAGCGGGCGCGTCTCCTACACCATCCCTGAGACGCACCGCCTGGGCGTGGGCATCTACCCCGTCAAGATGGTGGTCAGGTAGGCAGGGCGGGGGGCAGCCTCCCAGGGTGGGGGGCTGTGGGGGTTCTGACTGGCCGCCCCCCTGCCAGGGGGGACCACACGTTCGCCGACAGCTACATCACCGTGCTGCCCAAGGGCACGGAGTTTGTGGTCTTCAGCATCGACGGCTCCTTTGCCGCCAGCGTGTCCATCATGGGCAGTGACCCCAAGGTGCGGGCCGGGGCCGTGGACGTGGTGCGGTGAGTGTCCCAGAGGGGTGCGACGGGCCGGAACAGGAAGCCCTGCAGACCAGGTGGGGAGGCCTGGGGCCGCAGCAGGTGCCCAGGCGTGGGCTGGCAGCATCCCTTACCCGCCGTGTGCTGTGGTCACGCTGCTGTCTCTCCACGTCGTCTTCCATTCCCTCTGGAATGTGAGGCTGGGGAGAACCTGCAGCCCTGTCACCGAGGCCATTACCCCACGGGGTGGTGTCCAGACTCGGCACACTGCCTCTGCCATCGTCCTCACTGCCGTTCATGCCTGATCAGAGATGCTTTCCAGCGGCCCGAGTGGGCGCTGCTGGCCATGAGGTGGGAGGCCGGGCGGCTAGGCTGGCCCGCATGGCCATGGACCACGGGCCTACGCCTCACCCCCAGGCACTGGCAGGACCTGGGCTACCTCATCCTCTACGTGACGGGCCGGCCCGACATGCAGAAGCAGCGGGTGGTGGCCTGGCTAGCCCAGCACAACTTCCCCCATGGCGTGGTGTCCTTCTGCGATGGCCTGGTGCACGACCCGCTGCGGCACAAGGCCAACTTCCTGAAGCTGCTCATCTCCGAGGTGGGTCTGGGTCTGGGCCTGGGCCAGAGGGAGGCTGGGGGGAGGCTGGCCCATGCCCACGCCGCTCTCCCCACAGCTGCACCAGCGTGCACATGCGGCCTACGGCTCCACAAAGGACGTGGCAGTCTACAGCTCCATCAGCCTGCCCCCCACGCAGATCTACATCGTGGGCCGGCCCACCCGGAAGCTGCAGCAGCAGTGCCAGGTGAGTGGGCAGCCGGGCAGCAGGGTGGCGGGCGGCGGGGCAGGCAGCTCAGCCTGTGACCTCGTCCCTCTCCCTGCCCCAGTTTATCACGGACGGCTACGCAGCCCACCTGGCCCAGCTCAAGTACTGCCACCGGGCGCGGCCGGCCCGCAACACGGCCACTCGCATGGCGCTGCGCAAGGGCAGTTTTGGCCTGCCGGGCCAGGGCGACTTCCTGCGCTCCCGGAACCACCTGCTCCGCACCATCTCGGCGCAGCCCGGCGGGCCCAGCCACCGGCATGAACGGACGCAGAGCCAGGCAGACTGCGAGCAGCGCGGCCAGCGCAGCGTGAGCGTGGCGGCCAGCTGCTGGGGCCGCACCATGACTGGCCGGCTGGAGCCAGGCGCCGCCCCAGGCCCCAAGTAGGGCACATCACGGGAGGTGCCGCGGTCTCCATGGTGCTAGGCCAGGGCGGCCAGCCCCAAGGGTCTGTCCTGGGCTTCGCTGTGGCTGGGGATGAGCAGACGCAGGCCTGGGAGTTTGTCCCAGGACCCGGCCGAGGACATGGCCGTGCCACCCGGCCTCTCAGCCCTGCCTCGTGTCCTAGGGCCCGGAGGGTCCGGCTGGTTGTGGGAGCTGGCAGGACAGCAGGCCCAGGGTGACAGAGGGACCAGGACTTCCCTTGGACTGGCCTGGGAGACCCTCCGGGACAGTTTTCTCTGTGCTGACCGCCGAGCATCCTGGTGCCAGGTGCGGGCCCGGGCCCAGCCTGCCACCTCCCCATCCACCCGTCTCCTCCCCTTCCCCTTCGGTAGCAGTTCCGGCGGCGGCCAGCCTGCTTCTTGTTGACTCGAGTTCCTCAACTGTTCAACCTCACTGGTTTTGCACTGAGTTTTGAGCGTGGAGACCGGTCTCCTCCAGCTACGGACTCGCTGACATGCATGACAATTCAGCATTTGCTGACCCGGGACCTGGTGCCACACTGAAGGCTCCAGTGCGGCAAGTCCTCGCGCAGGCAGGAAAGAAAGGCCATACCCTAATCTCTGCAGCGCTGCGGCAGCCTGGACCCTGCCCACCCGTCCGCTGCCGCACCCGGAGGCCCCACCGCTGCAGGCTGGCCCTGGGCGCAGCACGGGCACAAGGCCCGCGCCGCCCAAAGCCGGCTCCCC